AAAGCAAAACTGAATTTTATCGTCCCGTATATCGTAACCCTATGGTCCTATGAGAAATTTACGTCAAGCTTTATCCGCAAAAAACAAACTATTTAAATCCACAAACCGCGTTAAAAAAACTTTATCCGTGTCGAAAATATGGAATTTTGAATTTGCTCTAAAAATCTGTATATGTGAAAGTTCGAGTGACCAGCAGTTTATTTACCAATCTTTGAATAAGTTAATAAATGATTGGCATGTGGGATTGATATTCCCTAATCCATGATTTTTCAAACTGCCGAAAAAATTCTCCAAGGATCTTGAATAAAATTTCCTATCGAAAGCAAGCTGAAGCCATTCTCTATTCATTATTGCCAGGGATACCGAAATCCCTCTAATGTGTGAATCCAGTTGTTCACTGAAGCAGCCACATACTTTGCATTGTCGCTTTTTAGAAATTTAATCGACTCAAAAAAATTTATAGCGTCTTCCGCCATACTAGGGAGAAGTCATCAACGGTACATTTTTAACTCTGACACCATTAGCGCTGTCAAAGCATTTGTTCATGAACAAAATGAACTGGCCCTCTGGCCATAAATATCATAACTTCATCCGCTAACCTATTGGTTCTATTTTCTTCTTCATTGTCTTCGAAGCCATCTAACTTATCTTCTCCAGGATTATACCATTATACTGTACAGATGGATCCAGAGATATCTCATCAAAAATAATTGTGTAGTACCTGTCTAGCCTTTTAATTTTATATACAGTTTTTTTCAATTGTTGAAAAATTATATTGTTAATGCCAGTTTTAATTGGCACACTACTAGTAAATCTTATAACCCTATAAGGGAGAGTGGGGCAAATTCAACATGTTAAGGTTTGCAAGATTTTAAAAACGATTTGTACTTACAGAAATAAATACAACTTTATCTAAACATAGTGATAACATTTCTTTAGTAGGTCATAGGCATTTAAAACCAATATCATATAAATTCAAAGGGATTTTTTTTTTTTTTGCGTCAATGTCAAATGACGAACTTGCCCTTCCCTAGGGGGCAAATTCGACAGCATTATTCTGATACAAATACCTAAATTTTATTTTCTACCTAAATCACAAAAATTAACTACTCTTCTTCGTATACATCAGACCGTTTTTTCTTATAATCTCTAACCATCCTAGAAACAAAAATAATAGTGCCGGAATAACGATTGGCGAAGTTGCCCCACCCAAGCGGATTCTAGTAAAATATTTCAAAACATCTTACAGGAGCCTTTTTTTACCGCCTATTATCAAATATTTCTACAAAAGATGGGTCAAAGTCACTCTGTAAAAATTAACTTGCGAAATAGAACGTTCTAACGGAACGAAAGTATTAATGAAGTAGAACCTAAGGTTTTGAAAATTTGATATTTGACTTGACTTGATTTTCGGTCTGAACTACTTGACTTGATATCAAGTAAAATCAAACTACTTGATATTACTTGATAGCGATCTGTGAAATGCGCACCGAAGCATTAAAATAGGGGATTCACCGAGGTTAAATAGGGGATTCACCGACGCTACAGCCAGGCCCGTTCCTGGGGGGTCAAGCTTAGACTATATACCTACAATACTGTAGAGACAGAACAAATCTATATATATAAAACACAGTTGTGTTGGTATTTGAGCACTTATAACTCGAGAACGGCTGGACTGATTTTTATGATTTTTGCTTTATTGGATTTGTCTTTGTCCATCCTAGGATAATAAATCGAAAAAAACCAAAAAAAAAAAAACAAAAACAAAATTTATCTATTTTACTTATTTATGAAAAAAACTCACTAAGCCCGCATACGGCGCCATCTCTTATAACCGATACCAAGTTTACCGTCACATTTTCATTGCAAACCATGTGGATTTTATTTTCACACACTTTGAACAAAAACAATTTGAGGAAAGCACTTTATTTTTCATTGTTCTTCACAGTAAAAATCTCCAAAAATAAATAGAATGACAATGTTTGAATTGTGTATTTTATTTTGTTGTTGGTTCGTTCATTCCGAAAGAGCACGAACTGGTCTACCTGTAATTTCTTGACGCTTGACCATTGACGTTCTGTGGCTAAGTTCCGTTTCTCCTCTTAGGCATCCCTTGACAGCCGTGTTCTGTGCCGACTGTTCGGAGTGCTCCGTCCGGCTGGTGTCGAGTGGCAGAGAGCCAGGTTATGAGTCCGCCACAACCATTTTGTATACGGCGCCATATATGATAGGTACCTAGAACGAAGCTCGCCGTTGCGCGGTAATTTCATTGCAGATACAGTAGAACAGAATACTGCTAAGGAACTGGAGCTATTCTGAACAGAACTATTCCACTATTCCGATCAGATAAAGTGGTGCAGAAAGAGTAGATCAGATAGAATAGTGCAGATACAGTAGAACAGATTGAGTATTGCAGTGCATGCAGTGCAGATAAAATGAAACAGGGCTGCGCTGTTTTCTTTACATTTTACATTTTTTGAACATTCCTGTGCCTGAGTTTATTTATTTGGTTGTACACTTTATAAGAATAATGCCCACAAGATGCCTAAAAAGGGATGATGTAAAATTTTAATTTTAGGTGACTTCTGATCCAGAGAGTAAAAATTAATTTTCTTCGACCAAAGCCAAATTTACCATCGAAAAAAACTGAATTTAATTCAGTTAATAGATACGTTAACACAACATTTAATAGGTATTTAATAATTCAGAGGAGGTACGAAGTTCGCCGGGTCAGCTAGTCATTCATAAATCACCAAATAGTTTGATCCAACATCAACAAGTGCTTAGAATTACTTATCAATGAGTGCAGCCAAAGATTTGTTGTGGTGAGAGAACGCTGCAGCCGTAGGGGTGCGTTCTTTGACGTCAAGCGGTATCCGTGTGGTTGCATATCCTTGTCTTGTATAAGAAGTTGAAAAAGGACAATGAATAAATACGATGGATCTATTTTACTACGCTGAGCAATGTGGTGTTTATATGTGCATCAATGTTGGAGCAAAACAAACAGGCACTTTGTCCTGGCGGAAATATTTGGCACTAACTTAACGATCGTTTGTTTACATACCGTATTGGAATACTTTCTTGCTTTTTCGATGTGTTCTGTTCGTTCCTAATTTAAATTACGTGTTTTGTGTCGAAAAGTGGGAAATAATAAAGGGAAATTTATTGGAAAATTATTGTGATTCTGTGAGGTGCTATTATTACAGGAATTCAATGGCATCTGCCTCCAAGTCCAAGCGGTCCAAGCACAACACATTCTGCTGTGTATACGAATGCGGAAATTCACAATATTTCGTATTTTGATTTCATATTATTTAAATGAGTTTGTGTTTTTAGATGTTTTTTAAATAAAAAATTACCAGCTGTATGCAACATCCTTTGTTAACTTAAAAGCGCTTTTTAAAACTGGTACCTTTAAAAATTTCTGTGGCTTGGAATACACATTTTTGAAAGTGACCAGTTTCAAAAAGCACTTTTGAGTTAAAAGAGGATGTTGCATACAGCTGTACGTTTAAATATACATAGTTTTTTAATGTTATTGCGTTTTGGCAGTTAATCAGATTAATATTGAAAAAGTACTATTTTTTCAAGAAAAATCAAGTAGTTTGCTTGAAAAACTTGATTTTCAAGTTACTTGATGTGTAACTACTTGACTTGACTTGAATTTCAAAAATAAATACTTGACTTGATCTTGACTTGATATCAAGTCAAGTCAAGTCAAGTCAAGTAGCTTGAAAATCAAGTCAAGTCGTGAATCTCTGGATACGTACGATGCACCCTCAAGCCAGTTTCGGAATTTCCGAATCCAACCGATTCCTAGTAAAGCGCGGTGACAAACTTGCCTCGCATGTCGAAGTTGCCCCACTCTCCCCTAGACTTTGTTCTAGTAGTCCTGAAAGAAAAACGATTTTCTCTGTTGACTAGCTCCGTCCTTTTGGAGCAACATTTTGCTGTTTTAACTGACTCATGATAAAGTTAAATCACTGTTTAATCGACTTGATTTGAATGAAAACTCCTGTTTCTACAAGCTTATCCCTACTTTGAAATCTGCACCACTATGTCCAATTAAACGGCCAGTTTTGTCAAAATGATGGTTGCATACTCTATAATTGGTCCGTACATTGGTTCCATCGAGAAGAGTTTTTGGTTACTAACGTTTTGCAGCCATATATTAAACACCCAAATAAAGAGAAAGTTATCAGTAGATCTGCTAAGCCTGCTCTACAGCGGAAGTTTTACAGCAATACACAATATGTATAACAATATCCTGTATAAAACCCCAAATACCCGCCTATGCCTCTTTTCTTCATGAAGCCGGCATAGGACGGCTTAGGACTTTTAGTATGTTGTTCAATACACTAAATAGAATATCTCTACCAAATTTCAGATTTACATTATTTTTTCCGGGTCAAACCCTAATAGGACTGGCCTAATTGTCAATAATCTAGCTCTCCAAGCATTCTTTTGGAAATTAAATTCAATGTACCTGTTCGAACACTTAGAAACCATGACTTGTTTTATATTCCAAATTGTAGAACTAATTTTTATCAAAACTCACCCCTAGTCAGAATGCTAAAGGCTGTTTATATACACTGTACTGAGGTAACATTTGAAAATAATCTCAAATTTAAATTTTTAGGATGAACTTTTATGTGATATTTATCTTTTTTTTTGTATATTGTATTCTGTAATATCGGGACACTGTTTTTGGACTTTGTCTGTTTATGTCCCAAAATCCTAAATAAATAAATAAATAAATAAACAGACAAAAATTGAAAGTTATAAAATGAGTAATAATGAAATACTCGTCCAGAAGACGTGTTTCGGCAGATGTCTGAAAAACGTTGGGTTTTGTCATACGACGTCTTCAAGATGTCTTTAAGATGTCTTGAAGACATAAGCAGACGTCTTGAGTGTCGTTCGTGGACATCTTAAAAACGTCTTTAATATTTCTGTGTACTGTCTGGGCTCAATTTGTAATGCCATTTTTTTTATTACAGCTAGCGGGTACACTAGTTTTAGGAGTTGGAATATGGCTCCTGGTGGATATGAACTCGTTTATTGGACTCCTAAAAGTGGTTCCCATGGAAAGTTTGCAGGTAAGGTTTTAAAATATATGATATTTTTGAATTTCTTGATCCAAATTATGGATAAAGCTAACTTTTCCATTACGCTATTCAAACCCATTTCAGTGATCTTTTTCATGGGAGAGAGCAGTATATTTCATGATTTATTTCAATATAAATTTCTTATGACTACCAAGTTTTGCTCCTTTATGCCGATGAATTTTAGTACCTATAGTTTTATTGCAATGGTGTACCTTATTGATAGTCCCCAAGTACACATAAATTTCACATCTGACGTCTCTGCATCTTTCAAAGAGAACTTCTAAGCGAAATCCAAATTGCCATATGCTTCTTTATTATACATGTTGTTAAATAGCGCTGTCCACTAACAGAAGTCTTGAACATGAAAGAATTGCAAGAAAATATGAAGTATGAATATTTTCAGGTCCAGGAGGTTTGCTTTCTTTTAGTTGAGATATTAACCACCTACACATGCTTTACTTCTTCCGATGGTATTGGAAGTAGATATATCTGTATAAGTAAAGTCTAGTGGGAGTTTGGGTTGCTCATCTTTGAAGAGTTCTGTTATCTATGATATGTTTTCCATGCTTCTGTTTGAATTGTGAATTCCAAACTTACGTTACATTTTGCATCATATTATGAATGTCTACAACACATATTGTAGATGACTATTACATTAGATATAAATAATAATTATTGTTTCATAATAAGTAAACTAATCTATATGTGCAAATATTGCTGCTCTTTTTCTCATTTCTTGGCTCAATTTGGTTTTACTTTAAAAGTGAATCATATACCTACCTATTTAAGCAAATACCAAAAAAGGGTGAAAAGTCCCAAAACATAAGACATTGCTCTTAATTCGGGCATTTAAAAGCATTGCCCTGTATAAAACTTGGGGGAAATTATCTTTAATAAATTTCAATTTCCCCAGTTATTTCCTTATTAACAATCCCATTGTTCCATGCGTCATTGTTAGCACTATTCAATGCCTCCAACCGCAAAAGTCTATCTTTATCAATTAAACCGCAATATCAAAACACACGTGACTTATAGATATAAAATTTTCTCTACAAAAGATTGATATAGCAATCAAAAATCCCATTTACTTGTGGTAGCAATAAAGCGAAAAAATCGAACAAAAATAATTGTATCAAACCGAAAACGGGTTTCTGTGTCAGGTGCTATTTCCCCTTTAAATTGCTTCTACCGTTTATCGAATCCCGCTAATTATTTTTAATGTTTTACGATTGTTAAGTGCATGACCCGACCGACGGCCGTCATGTGTTGGGAGTTTTACAACTATGACTTCGAAGGAAAATGAGGTCAAGAAATACCTACTGATGAATTGAATTTATTATCTGATTCAATAATATTGCGAAGAATAATTAACAATTTAGCAAAAAACTATGAAATCTTAAATTTCAGCTTTGTTTCAGGTAAAAACAGACATGATGCATGGAATTTTGTATGAGAATATATTTCTCACTAAAAATACCATTGAACGTACCCGTAAAGGTAGTTTATCTACCCAAAAACCCATAATAAAAGTTTACTTTTAGGACTTAGGGCAGAGGTTATTCTAACGTGCAGTTGGACACAAAATGTGCAGTAGGAAAAGTAAATTGTGCAGTGGGAAATTAAAATCTGTGTAGTTTTCATTTATCACGAACAAATAATTTAGTTGACATAATATGCTACACATGAGAATACAATATCACTATTAACATATTTACTCTAAAATGTATTGCTAATTTTTCCCCAGCACCACCTAAAATTCTCCGTTTGCAAAAATACCTTGGTACCATTTGCTGTTTGGCCTGTGCTGTTTCCTTGACTCTGTTCTGATGCTTAAATGAGCGTCAGCATAGAGTCAAACTAACCCAAACCATAGTGGCTTGTCAAGGATCCAACTCTGACAGATAAAGAATGTGGTGATAAAAAATGTAAAAAAGGGTGTGGCACCCCCGAGAAAATTTCGGCTGCGGTGCAATTTTTTGAAGAGTTCACAACCAAACTAGGATGGTACTAAGGCCGAAGACACAATGACAAATACAAGGTACAAGTGACAAGAGACAAAAATATAATAACATGTGTATCAATGCTATAACACAGAATAATTGGATACAGGATACAATTTACTTGCCACGCCACGATACAGAATTTCGATTTTTTGGTATTTAGTATCTGTCTCTTGTACCTTGTATTTGTCATTGTGTCTTCAGCCTAACCGCCACTGTTTTTATAACACACCATATAAAATAGTTATTTATGCAATAAGTGTGTAAAGTGAACCTTTTTTCACGCATGTGAATTTTGACGCACGAGCCGAAGGCGAGTGTGACAATCATATGAGTGAAAAAAGGTGCTTTATGCACGTACTGCATACAAAATTTTTCTACTACCAATCAAATATGTGTAAAAAAAAATAAATTTAGACAAATTCTTTACCCACTAGTGCGTAAAGTATTTTCACTTTACGCCCTAGTACGTAAAGTGATTTGGTACCAGAAAAATAGTAATTTGACAGGTCAACATCTGTCATTGACAATACCTTACGCACTAGTGAGTGAAGTGAACTACTTTACGCACTAGTGCGTGAAGAGAAATTTTACGTTTTCTGAATAGTGTGTAAAGTGAGTACTTTACGCACGGTAGTAGAAAAAAGGATTTTTTTGGCGTGTAACCATTTGTAACCGTGTAATCACGAGCTATAAACGTACGGGTATTACCCTCACCACTGGTGTTCTGTCAAAATTACCCCCACCTGATAAAGTTTGTTATCCTCTTTTTCGCAAAAACGAACCGGTTATAGAAAGCGATTATACAAAAGTGAGGTTATAGATACCGATTAGGCAATTAGGGAATCCAAACCACGTGACTTTTGCCAAACAGCCGGCATTTTGAAATTTTTATGAGGTTAGAATACGGATTGTTACATGTCAACGATGTCAGAAAAGTGTCAGATTTGAGTACTCGCCCCGTGTATTGATTAAGCCTAGTACTCATAACCGCGAACGTCGCTCTTTTTTAGCCGCTTTCCAGCTGTGTGCTTCAAGCACGGTGCAGCACAGTGTTCTGTGTTTGAAACGCAATAGTTAGCAGGCTCTCGAAGCGCAGTACGGCTGGAACACGTACACGCGCTTGAAGCATTTGCGCGCGCAAAAGCTCGATTGCGTGCTCAAAAGCGTCAGCTGGAAAGCCGCTTTTGACATTGTTTCGACAATTTGACATTTGATTCACGCATAAAACGTCAAATTGTCTAAGCAATGTCAAAAAAGAGCGAATTACGCTGTTATGAGTACTAGGCTTAATCCTGCCAAAAAAAAAACACATGTTTTTTGTTTATTGTTTGCCAACCAGACGCCATTTGGACAGGTCGTTGGATGGCCTAATTAGGCATTCCAACGACCTGTCAAAAAGTGCGTTGTGGGCGGAAGTTCATTATCCCGTATATGAGTGTATAGTATTTAAGCTTTTTAAACTGCATTTTGTGGTTGTTTTGTCAATGAAAACTCTGTTTATTTTTTAATTTTATCAACTTCATTAGTGTTTCTTCCAATTAAAAATGCAACAAACGTGTCTTGTAGTTGGTTGTGGAAGTCGATTCAATAAGGATGATATCAGGCTTTTTTCAGTTTTTTCATTGCCCTCTGTTTTAAAATTTTCCAATTAAAACGAGAAAATTTTTCACTACCACTGTTCCTGCATCTAAAATAAAGCCAGACTCAAAATACTTCTAAGAATCTAAGCTTTTGTAGGCCTTCATTTGGTCATTGATGTGAAAACTGTAGGTCAAAATGTCAACCGGACATTTTTTCAAACTAACCGTTCGCCCACATCCCGATTTTCCTGCATTCAAGTCTTTAAATATTCACTCTGCATCTCCAGAAGTATATTATAATAAAGTGAACTGTAATTAGCTTGGAAATATTCCAAATAAACTCAAGATAAACAAAAAAACGTCAAAATTTCCACACTCGCCATATTGAAAAATCACGTGGTTTGGAGAGCCTAATCATAGGCCTAATCCAAAGACCTGTCAAAAATGGCACCTAATTGGCACACAATAAACAAAAAACATGGCGGGGTAGACGCTTTTTACTCATTGGGCGTCGACCGGTGAGATACCACCATGCCAGAACAACAAGAAGTAACAGATAGCATGATGGCGCCTCCAGGATCAAAATATTCCGGAGGTAAAATACCCGACCACTCGGATCTCCGGGCGTCGGGTGATCCTGGGGGTCCTTCATGCAAAGATATAAAGAGAAGATCAAAAACTCAACTCAGAATTGATTTTAGCAATATAAGAGGAATAAGTACAAATATGAATTCAGTTCACCAACATCTTGAAGAACAAAGACCTGACATCCTTGTTCTCACTGAAACTAAAATCAGTTCTGCAACACCTATTGTGAACTATCTTTATCCCGGCTATGACCTACACCACCGATTTCGACATAATTTTGGGATCTGTGTGTATATTAAAAATGACGTTTCATGTCATCGAGAGGAGAAGCTAGAACCAGCGAACCTTGATATCATATGGCTAAAATTCACCTCAAAGTCATCGACCAAGTTTATCTGCTGCCTCTACCGACCGCCAAGTAACACCGATTACCAAAACTTTTTCGCGACATTATCCGAAAGCTGTGATAGTATACAGTCAAACTATCCTCAGGCTGAAATTGTCTTTTTAGGCGATTTCAACGTCCACAATATACCCTGGCTGAAACACCACAACAAAACAGATAACGAAGGAAGCAGAAGCTTTTGCCATAAGTTGTGGTCTAACGCAGCTTGTCGATGAACCTACCCGTATCTCAGAAAGGGGCGAATTTGCAGCGCTTTTAGACTTGTTCCTAACCACCAATCCTGACTCGTACACAATTCAAGTAGATGCTCCACTTGGTTCGTCCGATCATAAACTTATAATAACAAAGTGCGAAATGCTCATCCCACCAAGCCTACAACCACTTCCTCGTAAAATGTGGCACTATAAATCGACA